CTGGTGCAGACAAACATTAATGTCTTCAAGTTCATTATTCCTCAGATTGTCCAGTACAGTCCTGCCTGTGTGATAACTCTGCCTTTCAACCCAGTGGACATTCTTCCATATGTTACCTGGAAACTGAAGTGGATTGCCCAAGTACCATGTGATTGGAAGCAATCTGAATTCTCTTAGATTTCTAATGGCTAATGGCTAAAAACCATTTAGATTTCTAATGGCTAATGGCTAAAAAACTTGGCATTCGTTCCAGCAGTTGCCATGGATGGATTATGGGAGAACATGGCTGTGGAATGAACGTAGCAGGTGTTTCCATCCAGACACTGAATCTACAAATGGGCCCGGATAGCCATAGTGAAAATCAGAAGGAAGTGCGTAAGATGATGGCTGAGAGTGCCTATGAAGGAATCAGGCTAAAAGGTTACACCAAGTGGGCCACTGGCTTAAGCCTCATGGACCTCCTAGAGTCCATCTTGAAACATCTCTCTGGGATTCATCCAGTGTCATCCATGGTGAGGGCACATGTGGCACTGAGAGTGAAGTTTTCCAGAGCCTCCCTTGCATCCTGAATGCTCAGGAATTAACCAGTGATATCAACCAGAAGCCAAAGGCTGAAGAGGTTTCCCAGCTCAAGAAAAATGCAGGTACCTGTGTGACATCCAGAAGGACCTAAAAGTCCTGTGATACTGTGTTCCAGGCTGTAGAAGTTTAAAAACTGTTCTGTGAATGATCTTAAACCTGTAGCCTTCATCCAAGTTCATGGATCAGTTTGCTTCTTCCTTACTATCTGACAGGAGCTCACAGAATCAAAGCCCAGGCTTGGATTAATGTTTGCAATACCAGCTCTTGAACAAAGAAAGTCAACTATTGCAGTGTGAAAACAAGCAAACAGGGGCTGGGAATTTAGCTCAGCGGCATAAGCACCTGCTTTGCAAGTAGGCGGTCGTGAGTTCGATCCCTGGTACTGATAAAAAGTTAAAAAAAGTTAAAAAAGAAAACAAGCAAACAAGCATGCTGTGATGTTTTTATGACCTATTTAAATGAGGACATATCTTATTTATTTGTTCTGCTGGGGAACCAAACCCAAGACCTCACCAAGCACTCTGCCAGAGCTACATCCCTAGTCCTGAGGGAGTCTTTCTGTGTGCTTCACTACTTTGTCTAATTTCAAGAAGTTTTATTTAAATTAACTATTCAGTTAAAAGTTCACTAAAAAGAGATGGAGGCGGGGGCAGGTAGTGAAGGGGAAGGGGAAGCAGAAAGCATTAAGGTGTGTCTTGCACACAGACCGGCGCCTCGTGATGAAAGTGATTGTTAGGTGCTGCAGATGTGACCTAATACAAATAAGCTACGAGGTGGTGGCACCTGGTTGTAATCCCAGCACTCGGCAGGGCTGAAGCAGGTGGATCACGAGTTCAAGTGCAGCCCGGGCAGTTTAGCAATTTAACAAGGCCCTGTTTCAGATTAAACTAACAAGCAAAAAAGACTGGGGATGTGGCTTACTGTGAAGGCTGTAAGTTTAAATCCTGAAAAAAAGAAACTAAAATAAAATATAAACATTTTAAACATATTTAAAATATATACATACTATAAATATCTTTAAAAGGGTGTGGTGCTACATACGTGCAAGCGCAGCATTCTGGAGGCTAAGGCTTGTGGATTGCTGCAAGTTGGAGGCCAGCAGGGGGCAACATAGTGAGTTCAAGGCCAGTGTGAACTGAATTGCAAGACCCTTTAGGAGATATGTAAGTCATGGGACTCCACCCTCCTGAATGGATCAGTGCACTCATTGAGAGGCTAGAATGAGTCTCCCCGGAGTGTGTTGGATTTCCTGAGATTGGAATAGTTACCAGAAGAGCAGGTTGTTCTAAAGCAAAGTGCCCCTTGGGGTTTTGGCTTCTGCATGCACCCGTCTTTCAGTCTGGCCCGTGCTCCTGCCATGTGATACCTTCAGTCATGAGACCCTCACCAGAAGCTGAGCAGATGCTGGCATCACGCTCTTTGACCTTCAGAAGTGTCAGCCGAATAAACCTTTATGACTTACCTGGTCCCTGGTGCTTTGCTGTAGAAACACAAAACAGGAGCTGGGTGTGGCGGTGCATGTCTGTAATAACCAGCATTTGGGAGGCTGAGGCAAAAGGATCACAAGTTCAGAGGCAGCTTGGGCTACGTGAAACTGAACTACACAGCCACTCCCTATCTCAGAACAAAACAAAACAGCTCCAAGAAGGGGCTAAGACATGGGCATACCACATTTTCCTCCCCCAGCTGCCTATCAGTAGGCACACTCAATGTGACTGCCAGCATGGCTGGCTACTGAGCATGATCTGCAGTGAACCTGGGAGTGCAAGCATTTTCCCATTCTTGTTTTCAGGTTTTTTGGATAAGTACGCCGAAGATTTTTGCTGAATTATATATTTATTTTTTAGTTTTTGGAGCAAATTCCAATTTGGTTTCCATAGTTGTTGCCCCATTTTACATTTTTACCAGCAGTATACCAAGATTTGTATTTCTGTGTTAGCTGTTTAAAAGTGGATGGTGATGCCGGTTTCTTGATTTGCATTCTCGGATGATGTGTGTGGCGGGGCATCTTTTTATATGCTCATTTGCGATTTGTATGTATACTTTTATAATTGGGTTATGTGCTTTTTCGTGCTGAGTTGTAGGAGTTCCTTGTCCTTCTGTATTTTGGCTATTGACTTTTTTTGGGGGGGGGTCTTTTTGAGACAGGATCTCGCTATGCAGTTCAGTTCAAAGTGAGCTTGAGCTCACTTTGTAACCTCAGCTGGTCTCGAACTCGCAACAATCCTCCTGCCTCAGCCTCCCGAGTGCTGGAAGGCTATTGGCTCTTTAATCAGATCTATGGTTTGCAAATACTTTCTCCTGTTCTGGGCTGCAGGGTATTTTGCGGGGTAGCATATGCACTTAATGTGCATGAGTGCTTGATTTCAGTTCCAAGCACCAAAGAAGAAACTTTGTTGTCCCATTCCATTGGTTGCCTTTTTACTCTCTTGATGGGTTTGTGTTAATTTGTTTTTTGCTGGGCAGAAGTTTTTAGTTGGCTGTAATTCACATCCAGGAAATCACTGCTAATACAGTGCTGTGAGGACCTTTTCTCCTTCCCTGCTCTTCCTCCCCTTTCCTCCCTTCCCCCCTCACTTTCTTTCTTTCATTTATTCATTCCTTCATTCATTCTAAATTGAGGCCAGTTGATCTATGTTTTCTTCCAGGAATTCAATTCCTTTGCATTTTTTTATTCTCTCTCTCTCTCTTTTTTTTTTTTTTTTTTTTTTTGAGTAGTGGTAATAGAGGTTGAGCCCAGTACCTAACTCTTTCTTTTATTTTTGGCTTTGTACTAAACTATACACCCAACCTTTTCTTTTCTTTTTTATTTTGAGGCAGGGTCTTGCTAAGTCATTGAGTTGCCTGGGATGGGTTTGTACAAGGGGCTGATGATGTAGTCTGGGGTAGAGTGTCCTGTGACACAAAAGAAAAGAAAGGAACCCGTCCCTGTGTTCATATGCTACATTCATCCTTAAAGACATTTTGAGGTCACATCAAATATAAGTAATTACTGTATACCCACTTTCAGAAAACCCACATTCTGTTCCACACTGATTTTTCTTTTCCTGACTTTGCAGAGTCTGGCTTTCTGGAACAGAAAGAAGAATGAGCCTGGCAATTGGGCTGTATGTGGACCTTTAGATTTATGTTTTCTGTGTCTACAGTACATGATGATATAGTGACACATTTGAAACTACAGAAGGAAGGTTTTCTTTTTCTTTTTTTTTTTTTTTGTCTTTTTCCTTTTTATTGGTACCAGGGATCGAAGTCACGACTGCCTGCTTGCAAAGCAGGCGCTTATGCCACTGAGCTAAATCCCCAGCCCCCAGAAGGAACGTTTTCATGTAGGAAGTTCATGCAAAATATAGTGTGTTCATCATATAATTCCCCTTTTAAAGATTGTAATACTTATTTTCTGTTTTTTCTTTTTTCTTTGTTCTAGGGATCGAACTTAAGACCTTGTACTTGCCAGGCAGGTGCTGTGCCACTGAGCTATATCCCTGGCCCTTTATTTTCAGATATTATCATTATAAATTGCAAATTATTGCAGACTCACACTGAAATTTTGGGTGATGGCAGCAATAGTCATTAATTACAGCGGCAAATATGACAAATTTCTTTCTTTATTCCTTCTTTCCTTTCTTCCTTCCTTCCTTCGTTTATTGTTGAGGGTATTTTGTTGTATTATGGCGCTGGGATCCAACCCAGGGCCTTTTGTACGCTATTCAGCTGCTCTACATAGAGCCACACCCCCACTTTCTGTTTTGGCTTTTATGCCTTAGTTTTCTGACCTATAAAATGGATATAATAGCACTTTCTTCATAGATTGTTATAAAAACTTATGGAGATTTATGGGTAGAGACAATGAGGTATTGCTTAATGACAGTAACAAGTTCTGAGAAATATCACTGTGATTTTTCAGTGTTATGGACATCATAGAGTACATTGACAAAAGCCTAGGGAGAATGGCCTGGTACACCCCTATGCTTTGGGGAAGCCTGTTGCTCCAGGGCTACTACTCATCTGGCCTGCCTGGTGTGGGCCATAGTAATTCAGTGATGAGAGTGTAGAAAACGTACAGTAAAAATACTAGGCGACAGGAATTTTTTAGCTGTATATAACCGTAGGAGATCTCACATATATGGTCTGTCCCTAATCAAAATGTTGTTTTGCAGCACATGCCTAGCAAATATTAAGTGTTTGGAAGATAGTAAGTTATGGGCTAGGGATTTAGCTCAGCAGCATAAGCACCTGCCTTGCAAGCAGGCGGTCATGAGTTCGATCCCTGGTACCGATTTAAAAAAAAAAAAAAAAAAGATAATAAGTTACAAGTTATTATTCATAAAACAGCAGTTGTAATGAGATTGATCTTTTAAACCTGAGAAGTGTAATGTTATGTTGAAATATATGAAATGACCTTTCACCCTTGTGTACAGGATTGAGACTGTGGGGCAGCCGGACCGCAGAGACAGTATTGGAGTTTGTGCAGAGAAGCAGAGCGGGTGTGACTCCTTGCAGCGGGACCAAGCAGTGTGCATCAGTACCAATGGTAAGGGATGGCCACCGTTCTCCTTGAAACATAGGCCAGTGTGGTATGAAAGATGAATCCCCAGTGCCACACATTTCTAAAGGAGATGGAGAGGTTCAGACCTTTCTCCTCCCCAGTGCTGGGGAGGGAACCTAGGAACTCTTGCATGCTAGGCAGGCACTGTACCAATGAGGTATGTCCTCAGCGGGCATGTTTTAAAACACTTTACAAACTGGGCATGGTGGCGCATGCCTGTAATCCCAGCTCTTTGGAGGCTGAGGCAGGAGGATCATTGTGAGTTCGAGACCAGCCTGGGCTACAGAATGAGCTAGCTCAAGGCCAGCCTGAACTGGGTAGTGAGACCTTGTCTCAGAAAGACAATAAATAAATAAATACATAAATAAATAATATAACACTTTACAAATAAAGAAGCATTTAATTTTCCTAACTACAAGTTGTGATTAAAAATACAGAGAATATTTAAATTAAAATAAATGAGTTATAGTAAAAGATGAGCCAGAAATCAAATAGAGCCAGTACATAAGTAGATGAAGGCACATGGTGATGCTTCATGAACCTGCTTTTCTGTAGGACGGTCCTTAGAGGCAGGATTCACGATATTTTTATCACACCTACCTCTAAAGACACAGATTTTAAAATTTGAACATTTATTGTGGTTTTTTTGTCAAACCTCATAGCTTCTGAGATAAAAACTAAGTCACCAGGGAGGCTAAGTAACTACCCAGAATTATAGGGCTTGGAAGCAACTGAGCTGAGACTTGAACCAGGTGGTTCTAGATTAGGGAACTGTGGAGAAGGATCATTCTGTCTGTCTGTCTTTTCTTTTCTTTCTTTTTTTTTTTTTTTTTTGGTACTGGGGATTGAACTCACAATCTGGCACCTGCCAGGCAGGTGCTTATTCTGCTGAGCTAAATCCCCAGCCCCTATTTATCTATTTTTCTTTCTCTCTTCCCTCCCTCACTTCTTTCTTTATTTCCATTCACAAGCCCTCAAATATTGAACTACGTTCCCAGACCTTTTAAGTTTTATTTTGAGATGGGGTTTCATTAAATTGAATTTGGGATCTTCCTGCCTCAATCTCCTGGTATAGGCTCATGCCTGGTATAGGCTCATCCAGATGAAAGTTACGTATTCTTTTTTTTGTTTTGTTTTGTTTTTGCCGGTACCAGGGATCGAACTCACAACCACACGCTTGCAAAGCAGGCACTTATGCTGCTGAGCTAAATTCCCAGCCCTGTATTCTATATTTTTAATGCTCATGATTTCTTACTCCACAGTAATCATGTTTTTCAAATTTGCTATTAAGACCTTTTAATATTTTGTGACTAGGATCAAATATTAGGTTCAACAAGATTCTTATTTATTCCATATGAAACTGTCTTGGTGTCTCACAGGTTGTGATTTTGTAATGGTATTAAATTTCTTTTGATGTCATTCGCATGAGAAATTCGTTTCTGTAGTGGTAAAGATCAGAGCTCTGTTCCTGACTGCTAAAATGTGACTGAGGCTTAGAGTTTGTCCTCCCATGGTGACAGAGCTTAATGAGCATATTTAAATTAGTCACCGATGTCATTGGCATTCTGAAATGTTTGCCTTTTCTGACTTAGATTGGCTGATTCAGTAATCTGGAAGCTGTTTCAATTGTTTTGTTAGAGTTACTGTTTACACCTAAATGACTCTTCCTCTTAACATTTTTAGGTGCAGTGTTTGTAAATGGAAAAGAAATGACTAACCAGTTGCCTGCAGTTACTTCTGGATCTACTATCACATTTGACATTGAAACTGTGACTCTTGGAACCACCAATATTAATGAAGGCGGAAACTTTAAGCTCCGAGTAACTATTAGCTCAAATAACAGAGAAGTGGTGTTTGATTGGCTACTTGATCAGTCTTGTGGTTCTCTTTACTTTGGGTGCTCGTTTTTCTATCCTGGATGGAAAGTGTTAGTGTTTTAGAGTCTTGGATACTTGGCTTTGTGTTTGCGGAGTCACCATTGCTGTCTTCAGCCCAGTATAGTTGTAACTGATTAAAGAAGTTGAATTCATCTCTCAGGCCTCTGGAAATGGAAAATGTTTACTGGATTCATTTTGTAATACAGTATTTTAGTAATAAGAGAGTTGAACAGTATGGACAAAACCATACTTCTGTCAATTTTGCTTTTAGCATATTGTTATTTAAAAATATCACATAAGAAAGATCAAATTAGATTTCAAGGGGCTGGAGATTCAGCTCAGTGGCACAGCACCTGCCTGGCAAGTGCAAGGTCATGAGTTCAATCCCTGGTACAAAAAAAACACCACCAAAAAAGATTAGATTTGAGATTCTAGCAAGATACAAAAAGTCCTGGCCCTCTACTGTAGTTCTTCTTACACTTGATTATTAGAAGAACTTACTGTACTGTTCTTTTATTAAATCTCCATCAAGAATGAAGTCCTTGTAAGACTTTGGAATAAAAGGACAGGAATAGAGCTGTGAGAAGCCAGAGTTATGGCACATGCATTCACTCGTGTGTCCTCTGTGAGTGTGCTGACAGTGCACTCTGCCTTCAGGGATTTGAAAGCAGTATTAAGTTTTAGCTCATGGTCAGTCATCTTTATGTCTGGAAAGCTTTATCATTTCTGCATTTTTTCACAATGCCTGAGCAAGTGCCTGGAGTAGGCAGGTATTATCTTTGCGCTTTCCTTGCAGTTTGATTCAAGATAGGGTTGGGGTATGTGCAGGCTGAAATTCCTCGAGGCTCAGCAGTGTTAGCCCTCGGGCATGTGCAGTTTCAGTGGGGTGTGTGCTGTGAGCTGTGGTCCAGTTTAATGTCAGTTGATAAATGGTCTGTTAATGGACCAAAGAAATATAGGGTAAAACTTGACCTATTTTTTTAAACTTAAATTTGTGTAAAATATTTATTTGAAGGACTTACTTAATATGTTAAATAATGTCCTAAACTTACTATATTAGCCTACAGATTTTTTAATGTGAATTTTCTTTTCATATTTACCAGCAGTAGAAAAATGGGAAAGCAAGTTGATATTTTTGTAAGATAATTTATTTGGGGATTCATGTTCCCTGTTAGACAATCACGACCTTTCTTTTCGCCTTTATAAATGTAAGTAGCCTTTCACGTGTTTAGTGACTGTTACGAGGTTCAAGCATGTAGATGTCTTGTCTAGCTGTCTGAAACAAAATAAAAAACTCAGAGTTAAATGTGTGTATTTTTTGTTTCTTCAGCTTTAATAAATCCAATTTTATTTTATTTTTTTTTCTTTTTCATTTTTATCGGTACCGGGGATCGAACTCACGACCGCCTGCTAGCAAGGCAGGTGCTTATGCCGCTGAGCTAAATCCCCAGCCTCCAATAAATCCAATTTTAATATGTTTTTCATTAGAAAGGAAAGAGTTTCTCTTGGCTCCAGGCCCTTTAGTAAGATGCCACTGTACCTTGTGGAGGTTGCTTGTGCATTCTCCTGTTTCCTGTGTGACCGAGGTCGGAGAGCCTGATGAAAAGACATGCATGGTAAATGATGCACGGAATGAGTGGAGGTGAGTTATTTTACCCAGACATCTTTGTCTCGGTCCCTTTAAATATTTACTGGAAGCTCTGTTTTGTTTTGCTTTTTATTTTGAATGTATTTGTTTCTTACTCTCTAGGAAAGTGGCATATTAAATTTATAGCTATAGAATATGCCATTTCACAGAAGTGATTTAAAGCTGGAAAGTAGCAAGTGGATTTGTAGTGTTTTGAAACGAAGTTAATTTAGCTGTTGATTTTATTCTGTCTTCAACTGTAGATCGAAGATTTTTAAATTTGAAAAAAATTTGATTTTTTGAAAACAGTGGCAAAGTTTATTTGAGAAAGTAAAAATGAAGAGTGAGGGAGAAACTGGTTCTGCAGAACAAACTTGGGCCAAATAAAAGAGGAAAACAGGATAAAACAACACCCAGGAGAAGACAGCAGGGTGGGCTGTGTGAGAAAATCAGGATAGCTGAGATTTTTTTAAAAGCTAACTCGTTCTGTTTAAATAGATAAAGGTAGGGGGCTGGGGATTTAGCTCAGTGGCATAAGCACCTGCCTTGCAAGCAGGTGGTCGTGAATTCAATCCCCAGTACCGATAAAAAATAAATAAATAAATAGATAGATAGATAGATAGATAGATAGATAAAAGGTATCTGGTGTTCCGAAACTGTGCTGGGAGAAGAGGACCTGATGATGGTGTGACAATAAGAATTGTTACATGTTGGACCTCTGCTAGGTGGAGACTGATTTTAGTGTGGGTGATCTCTGATGTGAATTCTCACTGCCAGGTTACAGGGCAGCCATCTCCATGGGTCTGAAGTAGAGCTGTACATTTTAAGACATCCTGTCAAGCACATTTAGTTTTCAAAATAGCTTTGATTACCTCACCTAATCTACAGGTCATACCTGTGACCTTGGTGTTTATTCTTTATTCTTTACCAATGAGAAAACAGACTTGAGATGTGAACTAACTTATCTGAGCTGAGACTTCATAGCTAGTCTTATCAAGATCCTGGCCTAGATGGACATGGGCTGAACTGAGGGTCCTCCAGGCTAAAATAAGGAACTGTTTTTCGGGGCGGGGGGTGTCTTTTTGAGACAGAGTCCACTGTGTAGTTCAAGCTGGCTTTGAGCTCACTATACAACTCAGGCTGGCCTCGAACTTGCAATGATCCTCCTGCCTCAGCTCCAAGTACTGGGATTACAAGGTGTGCACCACCACACCTAGTGTGAAGTAAGGAATATGCCTCACCCCTTTAACATAAATATGCAGGTTCACTGACTCTCATCATGGAGAAAAAACTTTAGGGATGCTTCGGTAAAAGGAGCATGAGAAGGATTTGTTAGAAGCAGGTACAGGATACACTCAAAGAGAGTGTGGGTGCCCGGAGAGAACCAGGATAGGACACTGTTGTAGTCAGGGGTTCACAGGAGAACAAGGCAGTACAGGCCACATAATTTATAGTATTATTTATAATGGTCACCCAAGGAGTCAGATACAAAGAAGGTACATGAAATCTGTCCACATACCACTGATCGAGAGAGTCCAGCCAAAGGCCTGGATCGCATAGTATTGCTCATGACAGTGCCCCCCACGAGTCCAACAGGAGGCCTAGAGCTCATGACAGTGACTCATGCAGGTCTGTTTTACGGATCTGCGCTGGGAAGACCCAAAGATCAATGATGCAAGCCAGAAGGTCTGTGCCAGCGGGGTGAAGGAGCTGTGTCAGCAGGCTGAGGGTTCTGCACTGGAGCCAAGAAGAAATACTCAAAATAAGGCCTAGGGCGCCTCTGTGAAGTACCACAGCCATCCTCAGTGACAGTGAGGTCACAAGCTCCTCTGACAATGAGAACAGCTAAGACCATATCGGGAAAGAAGGTCGACAGACTCTTAAGGAGAACCACCAGCACCAAACGACAACTTAGGAGAACCCGCAACGCTCTCTTCCTCTCCAGGTTTCCTCTTTGTGCTGACAGCTTTCCTCAAGTGGGCCATCTACTCTCAGCGCCACGCCGATCCAGTCCAGCTGGTGTTTTAAGTTACCGGTTTTTACTCCACCACAGGCACATTTAAAGACTGATTTTAGTGTGGGTGATCTCTGATGTGAATTCTCACTGCCAGGTTACAGGGCAACATCTCCATGGGTCTGAAGTAGAGCTGTACATTTTAAGACATCCTGTTTCTAGGGTAGCTATTTTTTGGGCTGGAGGAAGAGGCAATTTATAGGTGAAAGGGTCTAGTGTCTGGGAATGTGCAAGTTACTGGGGGGAGCCTTGGGAAGGTAACACTGTTCTCTGTCGTGAAGGGAGGGGTCACACGTCCAGTGGCCTCCAGAAGCAGGAAAAGCGCTTGTCTTGAAGCTGCAGTTTTTCTTAAATGTGCAACTAAAGTTTTCGATTTCCTGGTCTCCCTCTATCTAGTTTTCTCTTTTGTATTGTACCTCTCACTCCCCTCACCTGCTTCTGTCTTCTCTCTCTCTTTCTTATGATGGAGTTTCACTAGGCAGTTCAGGCCAGCTTTGAACCCGCTTTGTAGTTGACAGTTTGGACTGTGACAGACCTCCTGCCCCAGCCTCCCGAATGCTGGTGTGACAGTCATGTGCCACCACACCCAGCTGGTCTCTTTCAAAGGATTGCAGAAGGCCAGTGTGGCCGAGGCTGAGGAGGGCCGTTAATCCTGTCTAGCCAGGCACCGCAAGTCTCATCCTGAAGACCTAAAGGAGACATAGGAATCCCAGGTTCTGTCTTTTGAAGAACCCTCATCTTTGGTAGTCTGGAAAAGAGGGAATACAAGACATTAGCCCACAAGTATTTATTGTGTATCATTTGCCAGGTTTGGTAACTAACCGGAGTCCTAGTCTTAAAAGGTGCCACATAAAATGGTGACACCAACACAGGTCTGATGGAGTGCTAGGGACAGGTGAGTGGTCACCTTGCCCCCACTTGTGAGGGTTTGCATCGCAGATATACCCACCCCTAGGTGTGTGACCCCTCTGTGCCTTGTAACTTACCACAGGGTGGTTGTGAGGATGTAGTTACTGTCTCAAGTGCTTTTATGCGTCTCCCTCCCCAACATCTTAGAGACAGTGAATCGTGAGACACTGAATTTTAAAGAATTTTAATGCCCAGTATCATAGCCAGAAAAATGGAAACTTTTTCTCACCAATTGTTTTGGGGACCCAGGCCAGCCCGTCATTAGTGTCTGTGGCAGACTCCAGCGTGTGTTAACTTGTGAGTGTGGACTGTGCAGTGCAGGGACACCTTGCAGAGCCGGCAGGAGGTCCACGCCGCATTCTGATTGGATGGTGGTGCGCGAGCCACCCAGTGCGGCTCTTAGAATATCTAGAGCCACGCAGTGTTGTCAAATGGCTTTTCTCACCTTCATTTCTGAATTTAATAACAAAACATTCTCTGCACCATCATTCAGATCTCTGCATAGAGTAAGGAATTTAATGTGCCCCCATTTGGTTTTTAAGTTTTATTTGCTTAATAAAATAAGTAATAAAGACAGCAGCCAGGTGATTTGAACAGTAAAAAGCTGATCTGGCCCATCAGTGCATCGAGACTGGGGCTGGCTGGCTCATCTGAAGCTTTTAATTCAGCGGCCATGGGCCCATGGATGCCCTCACGTGCAGCTTTTTGTCTACCTTGGAGGGACTAAGGCTGTAGGTTTTGACCTCAAAGCCACTGGCGACACTTGGGGCTGCCGTTTTATTTGAGCTCCTGTCCTCTATTCAGTAGTACACAGTGTGACTACAACTCTGATTGGGCTCCACCCTGTGTTTTGGGTGGCATTACTCTAATAATCGTTTCCAAGAAAGGGGTGGTAGTTGGTGAAGTTGTTTCATAGTAGGTGTCAGCCAAATATATTTATCTCAAATCTGGAGATTTATCTGTAAACTGATGGTTATCTTCCATCTGTGAGTTTTAGGAATGTGAGATGTAGTTTTTGTATCAGAATATTGGGGCTGGGGATTTAGCTCAGCGGCATAAGCGCCTGCCTTGCAAGCAGGCAGTCGTGAGTTCGATCCCTGGTACCGGTAAAAACAAAAAAGACAAAAAAAAAAGTATCAGAATATTAATTGTGGCTAGAGAAAAATTTTCCCATGGCCTTTTGGTGAAGAGTCTTATTTATTGGCCATTGAAAGACAGTAGACCTAGGGGCTGGGGATTTAGCTCAGTGGCATAAGTGCCTGCCTTGTAAGCAGGCAGTCGCAAGTTCGATCCCTGGTACCAATAAAAAGGAAAAAGACAAAACAAACAAACAAAAAAAGACAGTAGACCTGGTTGCAAGCTTAGAAATTGTTGCTGCACTGCCAGGTGCAGGTGTGGTGCGTGCCTATAATCCCAGTGTTTGGGATGCTGAGGCAGGAGGATTGCCAGGAGTTTGAGGCCAGCCTGGGCTACACAGTGAGTTCAAGCCTGGTCTGAACTATATGGCGGGACCTTGTCTTGAAAATAAAGTAAATAAGCAATAGAGAAAGGCACAGGGCTGTGGCCTACAGAGACCAGGCACACTCCTTTTGGTACCTATTGCCTTTCTGCATTCAGTTTGAGATCTTTCTGGTTCCTGGTTCAACAGCTGACTTTCTATAGAAACATGGTCATCTTTGTGTTACGGGATAAGCCTCTGAATTTTATAGAAAAACACCTTTTCGGGCGCTGACACTACCAGCAACCAAATTCAAGA